AATTTAATAGCAAACTTTTGAGACAGGTAGACATCAAGAAGTGGTGGACAAGCTTTCAGGGCTGTTTATTTTTTCATTAGGGAATATTGTCTTTCATAAGTCTTGGCAAATAGCCCTGTTGTATCAGCAGCTGGGTGACCTGCAGAAGCTTTTATCAGCAGAACATTCATTTAAACACTTGAAACTAAGAACATCCTTGCACTCAAAGCAACAAATACACATGCTGTACTAAGCAAGGGTCCTACTGCGTGAATGAGAATAATTTATTAATAAGAGTTGCTTCAAATTAAAATTCAGGTCATCTTATGTTTTGTGTAAAGTATGCAATGTTTATAATCAATACTCTGCCAGCAGTTGTAGCAACTTTCCTTGCAGTACAACAGGGTCACTAAAAACACCATGTTGACTTAAATTCCCTTATGTATAGGACTCACATGATATAGTACATAAAATAAGAAATCAGATGTTTTATTAACTTTCTGCAGTTATGCTTGGTTTTTAGAGTGGCCTTACAAGTATAAAAAAAATTAGTAAGTTTTCCTTGTTCCCATTTATGACTCGGAGCAGAATGCTGGTCAAAACCAGAAAATAGGAGAGCAGTTACAAGATAAGATAGTAATGCATCAAACTTGATAGTATAGAGGTAGACAACCTCTTAACCCACTGAACTGAACCCTTCATGTTGCTCTGAAGGTACCTGAAAGTTTACATTGCTTCCTCAGTTTTTGTCATAGTTACTTAAAGTGTGGGCAACAAGTTATGCTTTTCAGATTAAAACCTCCGCTCTTTACTCCAACAGCAGACATCCCATATTACCATAGGGTACCTGTTCCACCTCCTCCCACCAATAAGACCCAATCTCTCCCCTAGCTTTGCTTTAAGCTGCTTGGCCCAGATGACCTCTGATGTGCTAGCACATCTGCTGGCCTAAAACATTAGTCATCACAGTAGTAGTTTTGTAGACAGGTGCCTCTACAGCAATGTTTAATTAGGAAAATTTCAGTGTAAAAATATATGTGTTTTTCTTGGTTTTGAGATGCCCACATTGAAATGTTGAAGTCCAAATGCCACAACCAGGCAGACAAAGCCCAATGTTAAAGAAGGTGCAAGCACAGCTGGATCAACAGTGTTGACAGGGTTGAAATAGCGCAATCCCAGGCTATCATTTTACCCATGATGGAGCATATCTCAAATTGTGTTCATTTCTCAAACTGTTATAGTAGAAAATCCTGAGATACTCTCTGCTAGTCATAAAATAAAGCTACAAATTTTTTGATAGCAAGTCCTAACTAGTTGCTGCTTTTCAAGATTTAACTTAAGTCACCATTCCTATACATTTAGTCACCTTCATGCAGTGTGTTTGAAGTGACAATACAAAGGGAAATAGATTTTAAACAGTCAAGCCTGCTCAGCACCACAGGTAAGAGTATCCCAGATTTACTAGTACTTGATGACCTCTGGGTGTTATGCAACAAATACACACCATGTACAACCCCAACGGACAGCTGTCTGCCTTAAAAAAAAAATGAACCTTTTTCATTCAGACTGGGAAAATACTCTCTTGCCAGAGAAAGGCTCTTCTAGACACAGGTGGGAAGTTCACCTGTTGCAGTTGATTTCATTGCATACATCTTTAGCAAAAGAGGCCACACAAGCCACAAGCATGTTTCTGCAGTAACAAAGCCCTTCCACAAGTGCTCCAGCTAACACTCATGTCCCCCAGTGACAGCTCACCCTCTGCCACGGTCATGCTTCCAGCTCGTACCACTGTTAGTCCCACGCAGATGTTTATAGACATTTCTGGAACTCTTATTGAGTTACAAAAGGAAGTAGTTCCTCCTCCACCATATCACATGAAGCAGTTTCACATTTTCTTCCTTAGCTTTATCATAAAACTTTAATAGAGTAAGAAAAGTACTACCTCTGTATAAATTTGCACCAGGTTCCCTTACTCATGAGCCCTGACTACCCAGAGGTGCTCAGCTACATAGCATCAAATTTGTATTTTTCAGCACTGACCTTTCCTCTGGGCATCTACACTTATAACTGATAATTTTTAGTGTTGCTCCTTGACTGCCTGCTTATCTGCAGCTAACCCTCAAAATATAAGCAGTTTTGATTTTAAACTGAAGGCAATTACATAAACACATTGTGTCCTCATTTCCATGTAACAAAATAATTCAACCATGGCTAGTTACACTGTACTTAAACTGGTGTAAGTTGAGAACTAAAACTATCCTTCTGTGAAAGAGTGCAAGCTGAACACACAGATGTTCCTGCTGGAATATGAACTCCAAATATAGCTCCTCATTTGCTGCCAAGCACTGTCTTGCATCCTTTCATTACTCCAGCACCAAACAACATAACCACATAATAAGTCATCAGTACACACTATTTCTATATGTAAATATAGAGTCAGTTTGTTAACACTGGTTATGACTGACATCTTAAGGCATTATTATCTGCATGTGTTGTTCACAGACTTATGACCCCATCATCCAAGTAAACTTGACTCCATCACACTGTACTGATGGGAGATGCTCCACACCACAACACATGCTACAAGGTTTTGTATCAAAAAATCTCACAGTAAAGATCTAAAAGAGAAGGTGAAAGAAAACAGTTGAAAATAAAAGCTATACTGCATAAGCCACTTTTGGAATTGTATTCTCACTGGTGGACATTCATTCAATTGAGCAAAGCAAATGAATTTAGGAGTATATGTACTTTAAAAGGGCAAGAGACAGCTGACTAATTTTTAAGGAATTTCTTCAAAAGCTGGGAACGGAAAAGAACAGCAAACTAAGGTTAACTGAATATCCACTCAATTAATGGACCCCAGAAATTAATGCAGCAATTAAACAGCAAATGGACATTGCAATAAAGAATAAATCTTTCCCTCTCCTCTGTATTTATCCTAACACACTAGGGCATTAACTTAGCTACACTGAATAGCAGTCTGCTAGACAAACAGCAAATTAATTTTTACTGAATGTGTTTAATGACCTTCATTTCTTACATCACCCTGAGTATTGAGTGGTTCCTATAAAACCAAAGTGAAAAGATTCAACACTAATTCTAACATAACAGTACTGCTACACAGCTCCACTGTCTTACCACCTTGTTGATAACTAGGATTCCAAGTTAAGTTAAAAGGAGCTTAAGAGCTTTGCAGAAACCTTTCACTCACATTGCTTAGCCATTAAAGCAGAGGACAATATGGTAAAGGACCTGCTCATGACACTGTTTTCCCTTCAACTTTGTTTATTGATGTACTGAACATGAAAAAGTACAAAGGATCCAAACACAAAAGAAAACATGTACAACCTCTTAAATACTCAACAGAATATATTTTCTATTCCAACAGATGTGAATTAAGTCATACTATACAACTTCAAATAAATACCAGCCTTATATTTTACTAAGTGCTCTGATAAACACTGTAAAGTGAAGCCCAATTTACATGCCTTCTCATCAATGCCGTTAGTTGCTACAGTAGTATAGGAAAGAAGCATGTAGCTACTGTTTTCCCCACATTGGAAAGTTTGTGATTCCTATAGTATATACAATTCTTTAATGCAGAGGATTAGCTTTAACAACCTAAATGCACCTAAGAATGAGGAAGTGCTCAGGAAGCCAATTGATTTTTGAATAGCATTGAGTGGGTCAGCATGAAAACTCGCTTATTCACTTTAGCACGCGCTTCACAGTATATGTACTGTACTATACTGAAAAATTTATAACTACAATTTAAAAGAATAAGAACCAAACGCAACTGCAAAGATAGTGTACAACTATGTTATGCATAGAACATTGCTTTTTCTAAGGGGAAGCATATGAGCATCTCAGTTTATACAAAAAGCAGGACGTAACTACATAGTTGTCAGTGCATCCTGGTGAAGGCATCAAACCCTCAGCTTTTTTTTAAAAATTTAATTATAAGCTAGATGCTAATCAGAAAATATTCTGTATTTTTTTTTCTTAAATTTCTTCAATACATGGTAAAGACTTTTTCTATTTCCCCAAATAGTGATTTAAGCATCATACAAAGTTAAATTTCAATAGCATACAGGTATTTATGGTTTTTGTATGAAAAATGTAAGGAAATTTGTTCAAAACCTATGATATACTTGTTTTTTACCACAAACATATTTATAAACAAAAATGTAGCATCACCATAAACAGCTGAAGCTAGACTATCTACAGACAAAAATAGCAACAGATCTGATGCACTGTAAATTCAAGTCCTCAGGACAACAAAAATGAATAAGCAGACCTCAAGTAACAATGTTAATGCCATTTACAAAGAAAAAACTCATACAAAAACATTCAGAATTGAACATCACTTGGCATGTAACTTAAAAAATAAACTAAAATCAAAATTAGCTGAAAGGTTCATAACTCAAGGTCTTATTTACATTACACAAAGCTCAGGTGTTAGCCTTGAACATAACTTTCAAAATACCTCCAAATATACCCAACTCAGGCCACTTCTGCTGATTTGCTACTGCGCAAACCATACTCTATGTCTTTTCTTAAGACAAAACAATTCTTCAAACAATAGCAAGTACATCACTAAACACCATGAGCTCTATCTGAAGGGAATTCTTTAGGAAGAACAGATTTTTTTCCCCCATCTCTCAGTATTTTAAGTTTCCTGCTTGCTCTTATATTCTTTTTTTAAATTTTCATTTGTTTCAAAATCACAAATTAATGTGAGCCACCTATCACTTAATAACCAGGATGATCAAAGACTCCACTGATGATTACAAAAATGAAACCAACAGTGCATCCCATTGACTCTACTTCTTAATACAAAGGTCTCAAAAGTATTTCTACATCATAAATCTTTCTAAATTTTCCCCAACAATTGCAAATTTCCTGGTAAGATTTAAAAGCTCACTAGGTGTCATATGAAGAGATTTCTCAAAGTATTCAAGTCAAAATATTTGTTCCAGGACCAGTAAAAAGTTTCTCCAAATTTTTTTTTTTTTTTTTTATAAAAATAGATGCTTTTTTAAACCACATCAAAAGAGGCTCTTATCTCTTTGGCAAGGTACTGCTTTACGAAAAGTTCTCCAGTATTCTTACAATAAGCTTTTATAATGTGTTCCCATTCCCCAACCCAAATGATAATTATAAAATAAATACTGCTTATAACTTTTATAAATAAAATGTAAACTTCAAATACTTTTCTTGAACAACAAAACAGCAATGCATTAAAATGTAAATTAAACACAAGGCAAATCAAGAAATAACAAAAAACCAACTTAAAAATGTAACACAAAGCCTCAATATTTACTCATAGGTTAAAGGCAGTCATGTAAAAAGAAAAAACTTCTTCCCTTAGCTGAAACATTTTAAAAGGTCCACCTTCTTCAAAGAAGGCAATAGAATATGCATTGTGACAGGTAAAAACCCTGTACCTCTTGTCAATATTCAAACACAAAAGATATTTAAGAAGTTTTAATTCAAATATTAGCAATAAAAAAATCTCACATATTCTTAGGATGCTAAGTAGTCATTTTATCCCCATTTCCACACTGGCATACAACAAAGGCATTTACTAATGCATAAAGCTTCTTGTAAATTGCCTTTGTTGTATAGTTTTCATGTATTAATGCACTGAGAATAACTTGTTAGGCTTTGTGCGTTTTGTTTGTTTTGAAGGAGACCTGCAATACTCTGTCCCCAAGGCGGTATCCATTCAGGCTGGCTATTGCCATCGCTGCCTCATCATAGTTTGTCATAGTCACAAATCCAAAACCTTTGCACTTGTTGGTGTTAAAGTCACGGATGACCTTCACATTGGTTACTGCTCCGAAGGGTCCAAACATTTGCCAGAGGATACTCTCATCAGCATCCGGGGCTAAGTTGTACACAAAAATGCACCATCCAGTTCCTGCATGTCCAGGGATATTAATTCCGGCCAAACTGGTCATTCCATCAATGGTCATTGGAGGAAACCTACTAAAAAATGGGGGAAACAAAATGGAATCATATAGTAGCTATTCACAGAAAATCCCAGCAAAGAAATTTCAAAATAAAAAAAGAAAGTGATACAAGGCCTTTCGCAGCATGAGCATGGTGGCCAGACTAATAAGGTAACATTGCAGTTAGGGGGGAAAAAAAAAAATATATATATTTGCACAAATACTATGTACAATACATACACAAGTAATGGGAACAGTACTAGGTCTGTTTGAAATGAAGTAACATAGAAAAACAAAAGAAAAGCATGCTATAAAACCAGTGAGGATTAGTAAGTCATTTGAAACAGGAATTCCATGGAACTGCTACAAAAGGTTTGTCTCTTTCACACATAATGCACAAAAAAATAATGATTTCAGCTGAAGTCTCAACATGCAAAAATCCAACATAAGTCTTACTGAAAGAGTATGCAAAAAAAATTAACAATAATTTGGTTAGTATGAACCTAACAGTCCTTTATTACCTCTTTACTCCATAAGCCATGTTAAGCAGATTGTCCAACCTGCAAAACATTTAGCAAAGTGTTCAGTCTTCAGACTTTTCCACTCTTTAATCTTAAGGAAACTTGGTATAGTACTGCCATGTCCCTTGCACTGTACAGAACTTCATGCAAAGTTAAAGCATCACCATGGAAAGAGCTGTGGCACCTTATTACACCTGATATAGTTAGTGAATACAAAATAGATTTTATTGTGTAGTATCCACAGCCATAAATAGTTCAGTTCAGAAAGTGCACCATTACCACAAGTTTGCCCTAAGTCAAATACTGTTAGCATAAAGTTACAAAGTCAGTGACCACCTCAGTGAAATTTTCCACATTACTAACTTGTTTTGGACGAAGACTCTACTGAGGCTTCTGACAGTTTGCTGACATGAATACCCGGACAGATGCAGGGTTTTGGAGCAGTAACAAATGTTAGAACATGAACTGCAAAAAAGATTTTCCATCTTCCTAATCTTTTCCAGAATAAAGTGTTTTTAGGATATATACACACACACACACACACATATATGTATTAGACTGTAAGCCTTCTCCATGTATTTCTTCCCTCACCTTCCCCCAAGCTGCTAAACTGTAGTATGCAACTGCAACTCTAAACCCTATGGAATTATCTAGCCAATACCCAGAACATGCAGTGCCTACCAGTCCTATCAATCTTATTCCCGAAGTTCCTTACAGTGCTTCTCTAAGAAAATTTCCGCCCTAAAGAAGCTCTGGTTTCTTTCTGGTAAAGCCCAGACATGTGAAGAGAAAGTCTTGTTAAAGGTTCTCTTCAGGACTCCACACAATATGAGCTTCGGTAAAAAAAGTGCACTTGATTTAGTTTTTAGCTTACAGCTACCTTACAGATCTGTACCTTATTGTGATTTCTCTCCAGTAATGAGCTATAGGATTTAAGAACCATTACTAGTATACAGAATCTAAACTCAAGTGCTGCAGTAAAAAAAACTTGAAAAAATATTTGGTCTTGTTTGCAGCTAAATAAAGGTCTTAAGCTACAGAGCATTATGATTCTGCTGTGAGCACGGTTTGTGGTATGCACTGACAAGAAAGCAAGCCACTGAATACCTAAAAAAGCAAAAAAGAGAAAAAAAAATGCCTGACTACTATCAGAAGACTTAGTGTGGACGACAAAGGTCTACTGTCCTTAACATTTTGGGGGTGGAGAGGAAGGTGAACAGTCCCAGAAGCACCACCACTTACAGGTCCTTGCTGTAGAGCAGTTGGCTGAGGACTTCATACAGTAATGGTATCACTGTAACAGTTTTCATCAATTACCTGGATGACTTGAATATATTCTGGAAAAATTTTCAGGGGCATTCACTGGACAATTTTTAAAGATTCTTTAAGTTATACATCCTACAGAAACTGAGGAACAATTACATATAGCTGCTTTTGAAAGTCCAGCTCAAGATTTTTCTTAACAGAAGCATTGCAGTGATCCTATTGTTCTTTACTACTAAAGTTTATGCTGACTTTTTTTCAGGCCTCTGTCAACCATTAAGACAGACAGGGCAACTGTATCACGTAATCCTGTCTGAAATGTCAACAGCTAAATTTCTTGCATGCAAAAGACATGAAAGATCTGAAGCACTGGTGCAATCTGAACTATGTAGCCAGCAACAGAGCTGGAATGCTGCAACAACAGCAAAGCAAAGACCTAAAAACCAAAAGACAGATTTTCCTTTACAGTTATAAAAATCTAAAATTTGGCAAGGCTGTCTCTTTCAGAAAAGAAACAGAAGCCTGAAGACTTTCCCAGAAAAATTCTAAAAAAAATAAAAAAAATAAAATCTAGTTTTGTCTGCAATCCCAGTTTACCTTTTGACCAGGCAGTTCAACCTTGTTCTTCCTTCCACACTGATAAAAGTGATAAAGATTTTACTGTTCCTCTTCTTCACTATGGACTTGGTACCTATGCAGTGCTTTTTATTACCATTATACTTTTAAGTGGAGCAAATCACAGTATCTACTATGGTTGTTTCAGGCATTACTTTACACTTAGTATCTCAGGAAAAAAAAAAAAAAACAAACCAAAAAACTTTCCAGTGATGTTTAAATGAGTATTCATATAAGTACACTTCCTTTTTACACAAAAATAAATCACAATCAAATAAAATTTTTAAGGTTCAAAGCCTAATGTTGCAGGACAGCGATAGTCTATTGAATGCAAAGAACTTTAGGTCCTATCCAAAGAAAAAACTCCCAAAGTTGGAGAATTTTTACAAATCATGATAGATCTACCTGCAGTACCGGTTAAATATGGATGCTATCCCAGCCAGTATCAGAGTAATACCGAACACAGCCAAGCAAGCATCAGGGAAAAAGTACACTCAGGAGAACTCAAGGAGTCAGCAGGCCAGACTTGCCAGAATATGTTGAATGCTATAACACACAGGCTGTACAACAGCTCCCTCATGATCTTATGTCATATAATGCACATGGGTCCATCCTGCATGTGCAACTTCTGCCCCTCTGCCCTGCCTATGGAACAATGGCAAGGCTACTTTTAGTCAACATTCAGCAGACTGTTTAAATTAACCTTTTTATTCCCTAAGAAATATTAAAAAAAATCCACCAAATAGTGAATAAAATTGGTTCTCTCTGCCCTTAGGGCAGAAAGCCTAGCCTAGTGCTGACCTTCACACCTATGAGGCACTTGGAGCACATAAGGCTGAAAAACTGAGAAAAAGAAGAATTCAGAAGTTCTGTCAGAATCGCAGTCTATGAACTCTGAACGTTCAGCCTAAAAGCAAGGGTAGCCAATGCAGAGCTTTTGAAGTCTGGTATATTCTCTTTGAAGACAACTGCCAGCTCATTCTATTTCTTGAAAAATAAAATAGAAACTATTTGTGTATATTACAGTTTAACACATTCCAGTCACACAGCCCAAGGGCAGAGGGTGGGAAGAAATGATCAAAACCACTGAAAAAAACGCGAGGTACTCATGAATGTAGATAATACAATACTTGTTTCACTTTGTTCTCACCATCTGTCCTTTTCAATATACTAAGTATCATAGGGAATTGTATGGCTGTAGTTTCAACACAATGGGAACATATATTCGCAAAAAACACATGCAGAAAATATCTGAATAATCTTCATTACAAAACTTTGTAATAGGAGAAGACAAAGTGTGGCATGCAGGATTTAGACAACTGACTAGACAAAAAACTGAACGCCAGAATGGGAAGGAAAGATAGGGGGTGGGGAAGAGGAGGCTGGCTGCAGCATGCCATATGGCTAAGAAGAAAATTGAATTGCCTAGGTCAATGTTAACTGAATCAACTTGCACATTAATCAGCAATAATCTAGGAAATTAAAAATAACCTTTAGAAAGAGAATTTTTTAGTGACTGTGTACAAGAAAGACGTGATCTCAGTTTAACTCTAATTAAGTAGGTTTATTAGATGCTGAAATTCTATCAATAGGATGGCACACATTTTTGCTTTTAGCTGTACTGTAGGACCATAGCTGAAGTTCAACATTTTCACGTGTTTCCTTCACACACAGAAATCAGAGAAGCAGGGAAGGGAAAGACTGGAGGGAAACAAACAGAGCCATGGGAACATGTGGCTTCTGGCACAGTTGCACACAAATATGTATCTGACTTACCTAAAACGTTGAGCCTGCTGAGCTAGAGGTGCTGGATACCTTCTGTTTGGAGAATGGTACAGCTGTGAAAGGATGGCCTGATTGGTTTTTTGGCTTGGATTGTTAGCAAACTTTACAGTGATGGGCTCTGTGGCACCTGGAGGTTTCTGGCCATTCAAGCCCTTGATAGCTTCTTCTGCTTCAATTCGCTTGTCAAACCGGATAAACCCCACGCCCCTTGATACCCCTGCACATGGTGAAGGAAGCATATAATAATTAATTCAGAGACTCTGGAGTATTAGATGTTAATGTTTGATTTTCACAGCCAATTGCTATGTTAATGGCCAATTGCTGTGAACACATGATAATTTTGAGCTTATTAGAACTGAGCTTTTGCTCAAAGATATAAGACTTTTCTACTGTAATTTTTTTTTTTTTTTTAAATTTAACTGACATAAGATACATTGTGTAGAAGGCTTGGAAGGTTGAAGGAAAACACAGTGCAGACAACTTAAACATAGTGAGTCAAATGATAATTCTGAAACAAAGCAATTTCAGGGGGGCTGGAGGTGAACCCAGAACCAGCTGCACTGTAACCTCTGTTCAGTTCATGCTGCTCTGCAGTATCTAAATTCACAGAAATTCTGTAAATAGCTTAGTCATCTGCTCCCTAGCAGCAAGAAATAGCTTATGCTCTCCTGCAGCACCCATTTGAAGTTCACTTTAGAGCAAATATGCTGTGAGGACGAAGAATGGAGTGCAGGTTCTAGATTGGGAATGGGAATTATAGCCCTGTTTTAACAGTCCATGGTTACCTCCAAGTAAAAGATTCCGTTTCAGCATACCACCATACTTTTGTAGGTGTTATTTTGGAAGGAAATTTTTCTTGGGCCATGGATTCTTCCTTGGTATAGGAAAGTCAAAGACAACATGCAATGGGATCAGTAAGTGTTTATATATAGAAGGTCTCAGGAACACTGCACCTCAATCATTTATAGTGTGGCTTAAATATAAACACATTGAAGGGTCAATAGTTGAACCAATTAACCAACTAGCCAACACTGTTTAGTTGCATGCTTTGTTGTAATATTCCTACATCTGTTTAGAGGTCCCTTATATTTTGGTTCATGAATAAACAGTTTAGACACTTGTCCTCACTTGAGAAAGACGTCAGCAACAAGAAATGTATTCTGTTCATAAACAACGATAATTCAAACCATCAAAGTGACAATGAGCAGGAGTAAGAAAGCTTTAAAGAGGCAAATGTCACAGCTTCAACTTTGCATTTTTCATCTGTCAGTTTGTGTCACAACCTCATTATTCATATCATTTTGAGTCTACCTCTTCCAAATTACTAAGAAGGAGGCAAGAAAGCTTAAACCTGAACAACAGTCTATGCCAGAGAACTACTGTGCACATAACTGGGATTTATAAGTACTTGGAATTACAGAACACATTTAGAAGTTTGATTACATTTACTTATTTGGCCCATTTGTCAAATCCCACTGTTTCTATGCATGAACATACAGGAACATACTGTAAACACCTATTTATTGCACAAAGACTGGAAATTTGACCTGCAAATCTGTTGCTTCCACAAGTCACTATTTGACCTTTAGCTTTCCTTTCCCTGCTTCTCTACACTCTCACCAACTCACACTGTTAAAACACTCCATAAGTATTATGTGTCAATATTGTGATTTCTGTTAACATAATGGAATTGCAAAGTAGTATATATGAGGCCATCTATAGGTCAGCCAAGTGTCAAACACTGGCATGCACAACCCTTTCAGACTAAGACCATTTGAAAACTCCTACAGCTGAAAGCTGTTTGTCACCCATGATAACATGTGCCTTTGACAAGGTACAACTATACAAAAAATGAAAGCTATCTTATTATTCAGTGAATAATTATGTGAGTAAATGAATTCTTCCGCCCAACACCTCTAGTTTTTTTAGAAAGATGAGAATTCGGAGAGCCCTGCTCCTTTGTATGTTGCTTTGCACACTCAATACTTCTGTCATGTACTTGGCAACTCATTTGATTGCTTATTTTTGGAACAGCCCTGATGGAAGCAGGTGAGGCAGCAAATTATAAAGCTTCTCAAGATCAGCCATTTGAGTCAGCAAAAACAGATGCATTACTGTCCAAGTCTGAAGAGTAACCACAAAGTGCCACTGACACCCACTCACTGGTTAAGATGCATACTGTAACAACGCAACTAACCTGCTAGAGTTTAGGTCTTCTCCCGAGGAACACAAAGTTCCTGTTATTCAGTATGCCCAAAGTTAATGAAGCAGCCTTGAAAATGGTCTTAACAGCAATTACCAGTCTGGGTCTTTTGTAAGCCTAGCCTCAGAGAACCAGCTGTACATTTCTGCATAAAATTTTATTTTTATAAAAAAAGAAGTGTTTAATAGCATTTCATAAGGCGCATAGGGACTATTTTCACGCAGCAGCTTGGAAAGGAAGATTATAGCAGCTGTAAATTTATTACAAGCCATAAAACAGGCTTCAAACCTGCACCTTCAGGGTGGAAATGACTCAAGCTGGCTCAGTACACTCCACAATCTATTTTTGTCCATGCATATTTATGAACAATTCCAGCAGAAAATTGCATTTTCTGGCCTACATACACCTTTCGTACATTCTAGAGACAAGACAATCATACTAAAAGGTGATATATTTCTTAAACTGCCAGTCCAAAAATGAGAGGAAGTGCAAAACTGCCTACTTACCAGTGACTTGGTCAACTAAAATACGAGAAGTAATAATGCGTCCGTATTGGGAAAAGAGCTGTTCCAGTTCTTTCTGGGTCATTGTTTTTGGAAGTCCACTAACATACAAATTTGCATCTCTGATAGAAGCCGAACTTGGTCGCGCATAGGAAACCTTAGGAAAAAAAGTAAAAAAGCTAGAAATAGAACACTTTAAAAACAGCTGAAATAGGACAGTGTCATTTTTTCTGACACATTGATATATTTTTAAGGGCAGCCAGAAAAGTTACCTTGCAAAGCCAGTTAAGGGTTTTTTTTGGTGCTGGCTTCTGTGAAAACACTGAACATAGACAACATAAACCACACAGCAGAGGCTGACTATATGAACTCATACATAATTAAAGAAATACTTTCAAAGGAGAAAACCTAGGTAGACACTCCAGCAAGCCTTGGTGGAGAAAGTGTTCTCAGTTAGCATACTATAAGATTAAAAAGACAAATTTAAGAACATCCAATAATGTTTTCCTTTTAATTATCATTAAAAAGCATTAAAAAAATACAAGGAATAGAGATTTCACTTTGATATCTAGGTCAAAACCACAGAAAGACAGTCCAAAGCACTTAGAGGTTTGGAAGTGTTTTTCAAGTGCAGTGCTCTTTGTACGTGTGTTAAGCTTGCTATCAAACGACACACAATCATTCATGAGGTCAAGATAAACTCTGCTACATCACTTTTATAGGCCAAAGAATGAGTGGTAGAAGTAGAAATGCAACTCACATTTTGGCTGTTCAGCAGCAATTTCTACAACACAGAGGTCTTACAACCAAACGCCAAGTAACCGTGAGTTTCTCAGGTCCTTTTGGACAGCAGTTTTTACCTGTTGCCTCAAGGTGTCGATCAGAAATATTTTATTAAAATTTCCCATTAGATTCTTCAACCCTTAGACACATGCTACAAAAATAGCAAGTTGAAGAGTTCAGTACTTCCCACTGAAGTCTGTAGAAGTGTTTTATCCTTATTACAGGAAAGATTATAACAGAACATCCCTGCCTGTGAAACAGGACAGGACAAAATACTTTATTTGGGGTTTTAACTGTACAAAATGTAAAGGTAAAAAGGAGCCTGAAGAGGTGGTCAGATTTATCTCCTTTCCTTCCCTCCCTGCAATGCAGGATCAGTCAACTCTGGGCAGCTGGAACTTAAACTCTGTAATGTATCTTTTGCCTAATCCTTTGACATTTATTTTCAAATCCACCCCTGTCTCATTTCCATGCAGATCAGCAGACTCTTAAGACTCCTATGGAAGCAAAGCAAAAAAGGCAATTGAGACAGAGCACTCTGGAGGCTAACCAAGCAGTGCCCTGAACACTGCTGTGATCGTTACACATTCTACCCAGAGGATTTGTGCAACATATCTTCCAAAGCTGGCTGAACAGGGCTGACCGACAAAACCTGTAGCTGTCCAGGATAACACACTATCCAACCGAGCCCTGCGAGCCACGGTGCCTTGCTCTTTTAACATGACAGCCACAAAAGAGCTAAAGACCTGTGTTCAAAGTGCTTGTCTTCTGATCTCCCAGACAGGCAGCTGGGAATAACCTCAGCCTTTTCTCCTAATTTACTTTTTTTTGGTGAAGATGTGCAAGTTTAATCATAATAGAAAAGCTGCCAGTGTCCAGTTTTATCATACAGTTTGTTTCAACTCCAGTAAAGCTGCACTGAAGAACAGTTTATTTTCCATTGGAGGGGAGCCCACTGAACTAAAGATTACTTAGTCCTCTTTCTTCTGCATGCCCCCTCACTTTTTCGTATTCTTAGAAATATGCACTAGGGAACTGTCCACAGAAGAGCTCATGAAAATTACCACCATCAAGGTGCCAGATAGAAAGACACAGACCCTTTAGCAAAAATGGACTCAGTGTCTATGATGCTAAGTGTAAAAAACCAACAAACCAAAAAAAGACCCCAGCACATACTTAAAAAATATTCCTGACATCTGGTCATAGCAGGAATCTGCTATTTGACTCTGGACAAATCTTTCCACCTCAGCTTCCCATGTCACAGGGACCTCTTCTATAATCCAGTCACATACACTGGCAATGGGTATTCTCCAATAAGTTACAAGTTCTTTTTTTTTTTTTCCCTTTAAAAAAAGACTGGTATCTCTTGTGATTTTTTTCAAGATACAATGCGAAGAGAAAGTAGTAGTACATTTTGTAGACTAGCTGGGAATTGATATATTAGATTTTCTATTTTGACTTGATTCTTGCCATTTAAGAGAGTCAACATAGGATTATTCCTAGAAGACAATATCAACTACTAGCTAGAGTCAGATTGACACAGCAGGAGTGTTCAGGATTAAGTGCCTGTAACCTGCCATAGGAAGCCTCTCAATCAAAACTGTAATAGTAAAAAGTGATTATGGCCATTCTGCAGTATCATAAGCAGTTTATCCATATACTATGCAGCACCACTTTGAATTACAGCAATGATGGAATCTTGTAATCTACTGGAAACAAGACACCAGATAATAGATGTTACAAGAACAGCAGTCGTGTTCCTGCACATGACAGGATACTTGATTCTCAAGAGCCTTTCACAAGGCAGATGAGAAATTTAACAGGTCCTTCAGGAAAGGCAAATACATAATTCTGATCTCTTAAAACTTGCTAGAGTACATTCAATACTCAAGTCCAAATCTCATCAGCAACATTAGCTCTTTCAGAAGGAAGAAAGGAAAGGAGAGACACTACTATTGTATCATTTTGCTGGTTTTGTTTAACTAACCATGCCCTTTCTTTAGATGAGTATTTGCAAAGCCAAGGACAAGAAGTACCAGTGGAACTACAGCAATAAAGATGAGGGTAAAGCAGTCTTGGAGGGCTAAGAGAAGAGGAATCAGACCTCAGCTACCAGCTGTATGGCAGATTCCGACACAGCTGGGTCAAGTGACTGATTTTGCTGGTTCTGTACTGAAGGGTTTAACACCAAAGTTTTTTAAAACCAATTTTTTTCTTGAAGTGCTAAATCTGCTACCATTATACAGCAGTGAAGCCAAAGCCCAATACTTGCAAGTTGTGTTTGAAATCAAATTATTTTTTCATTCTGTATATTCAACCCTCACACTACATACACACATATTTGAAAGAACAGTTTCTAGATCTTGAGTCATTTTCCTACTTTTCCACAGGCAAAAGTATACACCTATGATGTTCCCAGGTGTGCAGAGAGTCTGAGGGGCAAGCTACACCAGCGACAGCAAAACAGAGAGTAAAGCTTGCCTTCATTTAGCAAAAGAAGCAGCAAGGGCAGTGATGGCTACCCAAGAGACAGAAAAACAAAACAAGTAAGGAATGAAAGAACTTGCCCAACTTGCCCACTTGGCTATGAGCTTCTTGAAGAAATAAAGCTCCATGCCACACTCCTCACCTTTAGGAGACCCAAGGCCAGAGAATGGAGACAGACTGCCTGGGTGACAGGACTGGACACAATAAAATACTGAATTATCAAAACCAAACAGTTCTGAACAGCTAAGTAGATGTTTGTTTTCAAAAGAAACCCTTCCAGCCCCCCACATTTAACTCTACCTGGTAGGAGGGCACAGCAACAAAGTCCATTTTATAACTGAACACAATGAACTGTTATTAATGTAAACTTCAACACCAATGGAAGCAGGGGAGGACAGGCACTATCTACAGATAAACTAGATGTATTGCTGCCTGCATCACTGGCACATCTCAATTTTATCTGTCAGTTTTTAATTCTCTCTGGAATTGAGATGTGACTTATCTTTATATTTAACAAGAAAGCTATGCAACCACTGGTCAAACTGAGAAACCAAAAAAACCCCCACGGTTTGCTGAAGATTAAGGAGGTATTGTGGACTTTATGTTAGCTTTGAACTCAGATAAATACCTGTTACTAAGCTGTTTTCTAAGCATGCATGCTTACAAGCACTCTGGACAGAGACTGCAGAATGTAAGCCTCACAAACTCCTTTCAAACAGGATTAAAGAAGTCTGTATGAATAGAAGATACCAAAGGCCTGCCAAAACCCCTAAACCATACTTCATGGTGCTACTCTTTTCCTAGTCTCCAAACTATCTGGGCTTTGCTCTAGAAGTAATTCTATAGATGGCAATAGATTAAATAGCTCCATTTTCTAAGCAATCTAATGCAGTAACTGGACCTTCCCTCCAGCCGCCCACCACCAACTGTCAAAGTCATTCTGATTCGACACATTAGATAGAATAAAACTGAGGAAGTACAACGTAAGCAGAAATAAGAGAGTTGTGTTCTTTTTATAAAGAGAGAAGGACACACACTTAAAAGTCAGTAAGTGACCTGTGAGGCCATGCTTAATACCTAAAACTTCTTTCCCTCCTGGATAGTGATGCTAAGGTAGGCTAGAAACAAATAACTCATTCACAAAGTCTGCCTGATCCGCAGTTTGAGTTCAGTAGTGCTGAGAATAAAATTAAAATTTTCCCTTCTTACCCATAGACTGTGCTGATGGACCTACCTGGTGATTACTACAGCCCAGCAGCACAGGTGTGGATACCACAGTTCTTATAAAAAAAGGTGCTAGAACAGCTTTGTAAGTCTGGAAACCATGTTTATGTCCCTGCTCACCATCTCCAGTGATTGATCGATCACCTCCAAGCCAAAGGTCCATCCTAGCAAGTAGAAAATCAAGCAAAGGTGTCTGGGGGCCTGCTTGGTTGAACAAGGGATTAAATTCCAACATAAAAACAACACGTACAGGATGTGAAAGCAGGAATATATAAACGGTGTCCAATCATGCATGGATGAGGTTAGGAAAGCCTGGATTTGAATTTGGTGAGAGATTTGAAGGGCAACAAAACAGATCTGTACAAACATACTGGTGGCAAAAGAAAGACTGGGGAAAACAGGAACCCGCTGCTGAACAGGGCAGGGAAACTGCTGACCAGGGACACAGAAAAGGACAGGATTCTTAGTACTTTCCTTGCCTCAGTCTACCAGTACAACTGTCCTTCAGGGATCCCAGGCTCACGAGAGAGTAGAAAGTCTGGAACAAGCAATACTTACCACCCTCAGTGGAGGAGAATCACACTGAGGAATATTTAAACTGCACAGACCATGGAGCCTGAAAGGTTGCACCCACAAGTGCTGAGGGAGCTGATGGATGTCATT